ACCCTTCTGGAGCTCACTTTCCCTCAGACTCTACTAAAACTCAGGATCAACTTGTTCCACAAACTTCCCTCCCTTCTGGCTCATGGCGTTTTTTCCACTTTTCTCCCATCCCATTCCTTGTACTTTGTCTCCATCTACTGGCTGGTCATGCCACACTGTCATTGCAGGGTTTTCCGCTCTTCTCGCTTGCCTCAAAATCACACCCTGTGTTGGAAAACCCCTTCCTTTCTCTGGATATAGGATGCTATTTCCAGAGGTAGGAACATGCACTACTTCCTGTCCAGGACAGGATTTCGCCTTTCCTCTACCTCATTATCTAATTGTGGGACACCACCTTCTTGGACTTGGAAATAACTTGAAAATAATAACTCGAACCGTGCAACAAAAATAAGGACACTTTCTTTTGGTACCTGGTTCTCCTCGCTCTCATTTTGCATGACCAAACTCCTTTTCCTCCTACTCACTCCCTGTCTCTCTCTTCCTCGTCTGTTGCACTTTCCTGCCTGGACTCGTGATCCTGCCTCCACTCCCTATGGAGAGAGGATTTTCCCATCTGCTCGGTTCTGTCTCTACCTCCTACCTGCTTGCTCGGTTCTTTGTCTATCTCCTCTTCGCTCTGTGCATAATCTGTCGCTATGGGAACCTACTCAAATTCTCAGGGTCTCACACCTCTTGTTTGTCTTCTTAAATCCTTCAAACAACTAGGACTTTCAGATACAATTAGGCCAAAATGGCTGAAGTTCCTGTGCACTCCTGCCTGGCCTCAGTACAAGTTAGATAATAACTCTGTTTGGCCAGACACTGGGATCTTAAACTTCAATATTTTGAGAGATGTAGAAAATTTCTGTCATTGTAAAGGCAAACGGTCTGAATTACCATACATCCAAGCTTCCTTTGATTTCTGTGCTAATCCCTCCCTCTGGGTCCCATGTTCTTCCCATCAGGTTGTTCTGACTAAGACAGTTTCACAGGATCCCAACCCACCAGGAGCCTCTGCCCGCCCTGTTCCTCCCTACCCCTCCACCTCAGCTTTTGATCCTACCATAGCCAATGAACTGCCTCTGATTAGGACCCATCCCCAACCTCCTCCTGCTCCCCAGCCTGAGGCACAGCCAAGTCCTCCACATGCTCTCCCCTTGCTATATGTTCCCTTGCCTCCAATTCCAGGGCCCAACCCAGCTCTCCTCCTTTCTCCAACTTGATCTCCCTCTCCACACCACGATCTTCCCCATCTCCAGTGCTGCCCTAAGTCCATCACCTGCTCTCCTTCCACTAACTAACTCTCCTCCACTTGAGGAAATCCAAAACCTTAAACACCTCTGCAAAATATTCCCTAGTCTCCCTTATTCTGGCTTCTAGCTCAAATAACCCATTTATTCCTCCTGTATCTAACTTCTACTTTGATTCCAGACCCTACCTCTGATACCCCTGCCCCTGTGTCCCCTCATGGACAGGACACCCCTCCCATCTCTCCCACTAGAACAGTTATAAAGTTTAAAGAGGGTTATAGCACAGTTTTCCTTAATTGATTATGCTGGAGGTTGTAAACATCAACTTGATAATGTTTAACTATGTACCAATTGCTTTTTTCCACCTAAAGCAAGGTTTTGGTAGACCACTCTCTAAACTACATAAGGTAAAAGATTTACCTAGAAACTTATAAAACACAATATGTACATGGGTAATATTAACTTATTACATTATCTTATGTATATAATTTAGATTCCATGTTCTTTTAATAAGATGATGCTACACACTACTTTCTTCTGAGTCAAACAACTACCATCTTTATGACTTCAGGTGTGTCCACTAACAAAAAAATCATCACAATTGGACTTGTTGACTTAAGTATCTAATTAATGGAGGAGGGGTAAACAGGGTCATTGGATCCTCACCTGAGTATCCAGGTGCTTTTCCCAGCCAACTGTATGTAATTTGGCCCTAATCACACGGTCTCCTGGGTTTGGGGAGGACTTAGTATATTTATCTGGAAAAGGCTAGGAAAAGGAGGCTTGATGCATGCTGGGTTAAGACTTTCCAATGTAAATACTCTCAGGTCACTCATATACCTCAACAACCCCTCAGTCTTCTCTGTAAGTAAGCTCAGTAAATTCATTGGTTCTCCAGAAAAACTTTAATGTAATAAAACACTGGTTTGATACTACAATCTGAAAAGGAGAATAACATTGCTTAGTATCCCCAGGAAAAGAATTCTCACAATAAATAAAAAATTTGTTTGTTAATGTTATTGTGTCTCATGGTTATTAAAAAAAGAAAATGGAAAATTGGAGGATGTTGGAAGGATATGAGAATGGAGACATTTTTTAAAGAAGGATTTATGTATGAAAATTATGATGGCTGGATATTTCCAGAATTGACAGAGAAATGAGAGAGCTGGACAGGCAATGAAGGTTTGTGTAGGGTTGTTACAACATAACAAGGATGAGACAAGGGTAATGGGTAGACAGTCTTGAAATTTCTAGGGTTGCAACTTAGTCAACTAGTCTAAGGATGTCTATCTAGTCAAGGTTTATTTAAGGATGTTGCCCAAGCTCTATCTACATAGCACATGGTAATGAATGTACCAGGCTGGTGTAACTAACCTTGTTGGATGTTTAATAGCCAGACTTTGAGGCCTATATTAATCTGGTCAGAGGGACTTAAAGGGACAAAATTTTTGTTCCTTGCCCTCCAAGGTCAAACAAGTTCCAGGGGCTATGGATTCACTCTTGAAATGTCCTGTAACTTTGGTGAGTCACCTGTCCTCTTGTTCAGGGAGGCCATGGAGACCCCAGAAGATGGACTTAAACCAGTGTGCGGTCTGCAAAGTGGAGAGTCAACACAGAGGAAACATTTCCTCCATGCTTCCAAGTGAAGCCCTGGTTAAGCAGGACCTTTTGACTTATCTTCACATAGAGGGAACTGGTAAAGAAAAGCCTGAGGAGCCAGGAGCTCCCCCCAAGTCCATGTGACCCCTGAGGACCAAATCCTCATACAACCTTAAGAGAAAAAATAGTTTATTTGGGCCAACAGTATGGTCTTAAACACCTAAAAGGAAAGTATAACCCAAAATTAAAGTCATCAGTATATTTTAAGAGTTCAAGGGATTACACAACCCAGACATTAGACGTAAATTCTTATGTTATTTAGACAATTATCTCTCATTGATGATTTTGTTCCTAATAAGACGTTACTCAGATATAAGACTTCAGGGTCTACAATATTGTGGTGCCCACCTATAGCTAAGGGAGGCAACCCACTATTATTCCAGACAAAAAAATTAAATGATGGCTAAATTTGTTTTCTCTCCGTATCTAGAAGCCTTTGAGGGGTAACTGACACTGATTCTAGCCACTCCAACAGTTATCAAAATGCCTTAAAACAAATCCTGAGTCCATCACTCTCTAGTTCAGCCCTGGCAAAAGAAAAAAAAATGAAAAAGAGTTATTACCTTGGGGCTAACCATTGCTCCTTGCCTCTTCAGATATTTTCAGGACCAAAATCCAGAAACTAACTCTTGCTCTCCTACTAATTTTAGTCAGTTGTTACTTTCCTTCCCTCTACATGTATACAAGCACCTGTCAACCATAGAGGACCCTATTGAGATGCATGAAGAGGGAACCCCCACTGTCTGATTGACCCGCTCATCCAGCTCCCCTCAAGCCCACCTGGTCCAACAGGAAGTAACAAGACAACAACAAAGGTGCCCCCTAACCTATAACACAAAAGACTGGACCATTAAGTTTCAGATAGCCCTGCCCCCTCACCAACAGGGTCTCAAGGACCTCAAGCGCCTGAGAAAAGGGAGTGGAACTGATAAGCACCCTGGTCTTTGAAGTTAAGCAGAATTTTCTCCACTGTTTGGCCAACACAGCAGGCTTCCCCTTTGATCTCTAAAGAGAACAGGTTTTAACAGTCCTATTCTCCCACTTCCCCTTACCCAGCTTAAAAAAAAATACATCTTCCCACCTTCTGCACGAAGAAACCTCCCCCTTTAAAAGACCCCCAGCTCAGGAATGGGGTAGACATTTTCCCTACTGGGAAGGGAATATGTCCCATGTGTTCCTTTGCTAGTAAACTCTATTCCGATGGAGTTTTATCTGTGTCCTGGTGCTTTCTCCTGATCCATCCTATTTGTCATATGGCTACTTTTTACCTACCAGAGAGATTCTTTAGGAGTAGGCTGGGTTTGTCACCCCTCCGTTTCCTTAGGGGCTGTAGTCTCTTGTAGGATAGTCACCTCCCAGAGCCTCTGCCCTTAAATCAGTTTGTTTTATCCTAGATGAAGCACCCCTTCCCAGGCACCTTCTACTCTTCAACATTGTCTCTCAAACTCATGTCCTTCCCTTTTTTTTTTTTGAGACCTGGATAGCCACAATTGTCTTGGAACTCGCTATGTAGACCAGGCTACCTTTGAACTCACAGAGATCCGCCTGCCTCTGCCTCCTGAGTGCTGGGATTAAAGGCCTGGACCACCAGGCCTCTTTCAACTTGCTGTTTGCCTTTAGGTAAACCACTTCTCTAGTTCTCATTTTTTCATCACCAAGTTAAAAGGTCACACTAAATAACCAACTTTCTGGCTCTCTTCCTGGTTGGTTCTCACAAGTCACACCCACAATGCTTTAAAAAAAAAAAAAAAATCCTAAAATAGCGGGTGGCGCCCTTAGCCCAAAGACCCCTCAGGAACCCAAGCCTCAAGGTAGGTCAGCAACAGTAGGCCTCTGGGAGGAATTGGGGAAAGCGGAACTTCCAACTCACACAGCAAACATCTGATCTTTCCGGAACACCCATCCTATCAGCAGGTCCACGCTCGGATCCTCTTCCGGGTCATATATCAACATGCTCCCGCCTTTCTTCTCCGTCTTAGAGCTCATTGGCTATCTCTTTGAGGAAGCGGAGGATTTTCGCGTATTGATTGGCTGCTTTCATTGTTGATTGGGTTAGTCACAAACAAGGCATGCCTGGTCTCCCTGGTAACGCCCAGCGGGCTGCTCCGATTGGCCGAAGTCCCAATCCCATTTTCCGTCCCAGCTGCGAGTGGTTGAGTAGCCGGGACACGGCGGCGGTAGCTCGGCTCTTGGGATTCCCGAGCTGACGTGGCTGCTGTTGGGCGGGGGGCAGCCGGAGCCGCCCGCAGCGGCCGGGAGCAGGTGAGTGGGTCGGTCTGCTCCGCGGTGCGCGCTCGAACGGCCCCGGCACAGGCCGCCGCCTGCGCTGCTTCCCCGCCCCTGGAGCCCCGCCGCGGCGGTCACCTGGCCGTCCCAGGTGGTCTCGCTCCTGCCGCCCCGCCCTGCCCCGCCGCGCGCGGCCTGGAGCGCAGGTCTCGGTCTGCCGGACCGGGACCTCTCTTCCCGGGGAGCGGTGGGGGCCGGCGCGCTCGTCAGTCCTGCCAACACGGCCTGTCCGGAGAGGCCTGTGGGAACCGGCCTCGGTGTGGCGGTTGAGGACGCAGGAGAGAACCTGCAGGGCCTTGCGCGCAGGCCCAGAACAAACTTAAGTGTCCGTGGGGGGTGGCGGGACCCAATAAATCCAGTAGTTCGCACTGTCACTGCAGCCGGAGGCCACGCGTGATCCTGCTAATTCTAGTGGGTTGGGAAGATGAGGGAGGATGAGCCCCATGATCCTGTTCAGGAGTCAGGTGTTTAGAGTAAGGGAACCCCGAGGGAGTTACAAGGGAAACAAACAAACTTGGTTTGGTTGGATGAGTGTTAAGGGGAAGGCGAGTCCCATGGCGATTAGAGTATTTTTGTCTGGTTTATTTAAAGCGCTCCAGTTGTTCTGTGGGGAGAGGACACTTTTGAGAGCGAAACACATACTTAAAATCATGTATAAGTTTACTGACTTTTGGACATGGAAGCTCTCCAAGGCGTGTAAAGGACGACTTTACAGATTTGAGCAAGGTGGCAGTAGAATTTATAACAAAGCTTGGAAGCCTTTTAAAGCAGGAATTATTAAGGTTTGGATCAATAAGGTAATGGGTCAAATTCAGGGACTGTTATATTCGAAAACAGAGAGGATTTGAATAGGCACAGGAAAAAGTTAAAGAGGACTCAACATTTTTGGAGGCTAAAGGTGTAACCGACTGGTAGAGTGCTTGCTTCTATGCAGGAGGCCCGGCTTGCAGTTGTGTTGACTCACAACTCTTATTTCCTTGATCCTGGAATAACTGTTTAGTGCTTCCTTCTTCATCGCAGTACATTTGTTTAACTACCTTAGTCGTGCATTAGTAGCGTCCAAACTTTAAAAAACTGCATATACTGTAGGTAAAACACTTTGAACATACAGGTCCCTGGTACTTTATTTTGCATAGTGGAGGAGTACCTCTGTAACTAGATCACATAGTATAAAATAGGCAAAAGTACAAACTTAAGAGAATTAAATAAAAAGTAAAATTTCTGGCTTCAAGGTAGGACACCCTCAAACAATTTGAAATCCATGCAAAAGTGCTTCCTCGTTCTTTGGAGATGGTTCGAATTTTGGAGGATCCCCCTGCCTTTTGGGGGAGGATACATTTGTAGTGCAGCCCTTCTTAAAAATAGTCGTCTTTAGAAAATCTTTTAAACTTCCTGTTTGACTTTTTTTTTTTTGGTCTTTTTGAAAAAGTACGGTCTCCTTGTAGCCCCAGCTGTCCCAGAACTCATTATGTAGACCAGGCTGGCCTTGAACTCACAGAGATCCGCCTGCCTCTGCCTCCCGAGTTCTGGGACTACAGGCATGCGCCACCACACCTGGCTTCTGTTTGGCTTTTAAAGTCCACCACTCCCCTGGTCCCTCCCCAACCCATTGGATTAACGGGATAGTGATACTACCCTTGTTTATAAAATAGATCATTAACTTCTGTAGGTTACCTATTAGGAATAAACTATTTTGTGAGACGTGTCGCCACTGATCATTACACACCAGTCTGTTGTTAATAACCTTTATGCAAAAGGAGACTGGACTGTGTAATACTCCCTTCCCTCTCTCAGGACTGGGACTCAAACCTAGAACTGTGTACATGCCAAACAAGCACTCAACTACAAAGCTTCAAACCCAGCCCTATAATACTCTTCAAGGCATTTTGAAGACTGTATATGTGCTTTTGATAATGGAAATACAATACTAAGGCCGTAAACCAAAGTTCATTCCTACCTACCTATCTTCTTCATTCTCCACTTCCAGAAGAAAGCACTGTAAATCTTCCTTGAGAAGCATTCTGATCATAGTGAAGCACATACATAATCCCTTCGTGTGAGTCATAGTACACATACAATTCTAATATTTTTTGTTTTGGCTGCTTAATACTATATACAGATTAAGCATCCCTGATCTTTAAATCTGAAACCTGAAATGCTCCAAAATATCAAACTTTGTGATTATATACTACAAGTAGAAAATTGTACACCATGAAACTTTGCTTCATGCACAAATTAAAATATGTGAAATTATCTTCAGTCTATGCATATATGGCATAGATGGAATATAAATGATTGTATGTGTGTGTGTGTGTGTTTAAACTTGAGTCCTATCTTCAGAGTGGCTATCGCCCCTCCTCTGTCTCAAAAAAAGAAAAAAACAAAACAGTAACAACAACAAAACCCAAAACTTAAACCAGGTATTTTAATTTTTTTTTGATACAGGATGCTCAACCCATATTAATAATTTTTAGGAAACATGAGTATAAAACACTTTCCCACTCTTTCAAATGGCTATACAACATTCCTTTGTAGAAATATAAAATATGTAGTTAGCAATCTTCTCTTGATGGGTATTAAAATTGTTTTCTGTCATAAGCAATCAAATACTGCAGTAGCGAACACCTTTGTATCTTTTTGTCCTTATGTATGTGAGCCTGTGTGTGGATAAATAATATGGAATTATTTGTGGGCATATTACTATGGATCATGTAGGTTTATGTACTGCTCAGAGAAAAGGGTTACCTATATCACTGTTACATGGTACCTTCCCATTGCTCATCTCTGTTTTGAGCCTGGATGAAGAGTATTGGGTGAGGAAGTTGCTCAGAAAATGGGATGTCTTTGTATATCTCCACCAGCCAAGAAGTTCTGAAGAACTGTGTTACTCAGCAAATTATTTAAATTCCCTGGGCCTTAGTTTATTCACCTTAAAAATGGGGGTACTGATAGTACCCATTTGTTAGGGTTTGGGGAATAAAATGAATTAAGTAATGAGGATAAGTTATAGGTAAAGAACCAGGAGCAGTGAGTGCTTCATAGGAAGTGCTGTGTATATGTGTGATAGTTAGCATTTATTTCTAATTGATTTCATGAAAATAACTCTGCAATATGAAAAGTAGCTTTTACTTTTCTAATTGTAAAGTTATATCCTAATATAGAAAATGCTTGTACCAGCTACACTAACACTACTGTTCTATTAACTCTTCAATCTGGTTGAAAATCACTGAGATGCAATCAAATATGCATGAACTTAGGTGTGACATAGCCTTGCTCTGTGGGAATGTCATTTAAGTTCCAAAGCAAGTGGTACATGTGCGTGTACAGACAGGCACACACTTCTAGCCTTTGATTATTTTGCTTTTTGTCTTGCATATTGTCTTAGGGACTTGCCATTTGTTTATTTTATAGCTCCTAGTGAAACCATATACATCAGATAAGTGCTTTTAAGGTAATAATTGTTGATAAATGCAAAGCTTTGAGAAAATAATCTTTCTATTTAACTCTTAGTGCCATTTCATACAAGTATTAAGGTCCTGTGGCAGGAAAGGTGTGGCTAGCTTGGATGTCCAGGCTGTGTTTTATTTGCCTGTTTTATAGAAGCTTGCCCTTGACATGGAGCTCTGTGTTTGTTTGTTTTTAATCCTTGTTCTTTGTGATTCTGGTGCTTTATAAAATTATAGCAATCATGTTTTCCTTGTGTGAATTTATTACCATAAACACTTTCCTGTTTACTGATTTTTGTATGTATATTTGCCATTTCTGTAGTGAGCCTTATAGAGAGGATAAGCATTGTTCTTCCTTTAGCTTTCATGCCCTTAGGTTCCCAGCCTTTGAGCTGTATGAAAGATGCCTTCCCCATTGCATTCTTCAGTTTTAACAATTATAAAACTTAGTGTTGGATCATGGAATCACATTAGTTGTTTTTAGATTGGTCCTTGTTCTTCACTTGAAGGTGAGGAAACCGATTTAGCCAGTGTGATGAATTGCTTCTTGTTGAGCCAGGACAGAATGCTCAGTTTCTTGGCTCCAGTTTGGTCCTTTTTCTATCATGTTGTCTCCTTCCCATCAGCCTGTAAGATGTTTTTTCAGTCGAGACTTCTTTTACCTTGCCCAAAATGTGATATATCTAGCACTAGCCTAGAGCTTTAGCTTGTTTAAATACTGGTCTTCCCTTCACATGTATAAGATATGAAGTGGCTGTGTGAGAAAAATAATCTTTTTAAAGAGCTTTTAACTTTTCTTTTTTGTTGCTGAGGGACCTTGAAATGTATTCATTTCTTTGAATGTCAGTTTTCTTAATCTGTAAAATGGAGATGATAATCCTTAGTTTGCAGACTTTATTAAGGTTAAACTATTGAATACACTTGCATTGCAAAGAATTCGGTATTTCTCAATAATTGTTGCCATTAGTATTATCATCTTATCCTTCATGTCTAATGATTTTTCAGGAGGATACTAATAGAGATATACCCTCCTAAGGAAGATGACCAGAATAGCACATGTGGTAGTGATATCAGGCAGAGAGAAAGGAAATCATAGTTTGCAAAAGCTATTCAGGATTTTAATTTTATATAACACCGTATTTCCAGGGCTGGAGAGATTGCTCAGTGGTTAAGAACACTGACTGTTCTTGCAGAAGACCTGGGTTCGAATCCCAGCACCTACATGGCAGCTAACAACTGTCCATAACTCCAGTTCCAGGGGATCTGCCAGCATCTTCTGTCCTCCGCAGGCATTGCACGACACTGGTGCACTTACGTATATGCAGGCATAACATTCATACACATAAAATAAAAATAAAAAACTATATTTCCACATAAAAGGAATTTTGTGGTTGGCTTTTTTTTTTTTTTTTTTTTTTTGAGTCTTTTTGAGACAGGGTTTCCCTGAAGCCCCAGCTGTCCTGGAACTCACTATGTAGACCAGGCTGGCCTTGGAATTCACAGAGATCTGCCTGCCTCTGCCTCCCAAGTGCTGGGATTAAAGGTGTGCGCCACCACGCCTGGTGTGGTTGGCTTTTTAAAATATTTTTTTTATTTTATATATGTGAATGTATTGCATGCACCCTTGTCATGTAATGCCCATGGAGGTCAGAAGAGGGCATCAGATTCCCCTGGAGCTGGAGTTAAAGGTTGTTGGCTGTTATGTGGGTGCTGAGAACCAAACCTAGGTCCTCTGCAAGAGCAGCCAGTGCTCTTAACCTCTGAGACATTTCTCCAACCCATGTTGTTTTTTAAAGACCTGGCTGGCTTGGAACTCAGTATGTAAACCAGGCTGGACTTGAAGAAATCCGTTTGCCTTTGCCCCCCAAGTGCTAGAACTGAAAGTATGAGCCACCACACCCAACCTAAAAGGAAAATTTTAAAGATTTTTATAAGAGAAATTGCACAAAATAAGATCACAAATTTTTAATGATAATATATAGGGTGTTTAAGGCATAGTGCTTTGAGTGGGTGAATGTAAATACACCTGCACCCTAACACATGAAACATTTTTACATTTCTTTGAAGAAGTAATGGCTTAAAAACAATTGAGAAATCCTGTGTGTGAAATTTCAGTACTTTTCTCATTAATCCTAAAAGTAGTACCATCACAGTGGTACGTAGAGAAGAAAGTGCAGGTGCGACAGCATGGCACATTATGGGTGAAATTGGAGAGTGGGTGGGGAATCTGAGCTGAAAGTGATGGAAAGTGGCCAGTTAAGTTTATATAGGTCAGGGTGTGTGACAAAGTCTGTAGTTAAGTCTAGAAACTCCCTTCTGAATATGTTAATTACTTTGAGGTGATTATCACCTACTGTATTCCTGAATTACAACATCATATTATACCTTATTAATTAGAAATATATACCAACAAAAATAAAACAAAACTTCTTCATGGATTCATGGATGTCTCTAAACATTTGGTTAACAACTTCTGTTAATTTTTCTAGAGAAAAATGGTAAAATAAGGCACATATTTAAAAAAACACATCAGAATATATAGTTTCATGAGCTGCTATAACAAATTTACTTTGCTGGTCCTTCCAGAAACCCTTCCATGTGCCCATCTGACTTATAACCCTCTCTTCCTTCCCAAACTACTTCCATAGTTTACTTATAGTTTTATTATCCAAATGGGAATCTTGCCATTTTAGAACTTGATACGTCTTTTAATTCTTTCCCTTACAGTTTTCTGTGGGAAACTTAGGCCCTTTGGCCTGTGGAGTTTGCCGCAGTCTAGGAACAACACATTGACTGGGCAGTTCATCGTGTTCTTCTGTTCTCTGCATTTTCTTCAGATGGCAGCAGGATGGGAGGCTTCATCTAACTGAGCTTCTGTCCTTTGGCAAGAATGTAGATGTGGTATATTCCTTCAAAGGAGGTTCATAAGGTCTGGGCTTTGCTTTTCATTATCAGCTGTTGATTGATGATCAGTATCTAGACCCATGACTTCATTAGGGTTTACAAAATGTTAGAATGAGTGTTTTATTAGTCTGAATAATTTGTGTGGGGTGTGTGTGTGTGTGTGTGTGTGTGTGTGTGTGTGAGTGACATGCATGTGGAATCTAGAGGTCCACCTTGGGTGTTCCTCAGGAGCTGTTCACACTTTTCTTAAAAAAAAATTTGATTTTTATTTTACGTGTCTGAGTGTTTTGCCTGCACGACTGTAAGTGCACCACACATGTGTAATGCCTGTGAAGGGGAGAAAAGGGTATTGGATCTTCTGGAACTGGAGTTACAGAGAGCTGTTAACCCCAAAATGGGTGTTGGGAACTGAACCTGGGTCTTTTGGAGGAGCAGTAAGTGCTCTTAAGCACTGAGCTAATAATTTCTCCAGCCCCTACACTTTTGTTTTTATTTTTATTTTTTTAGACATGGTCTCCTGTAGCTACAGCTGGCTTGAACTTACTCTGTAGACCAGGCTGGATCTCACAGAGATCCATTTGCTTCTACCTCCTCAAGTGCTAGGATTAAAGGTGTGTGCTACCAAGCCCAGCTCCCACACTTTTTTTGAGATGGGTTCTCTCACTGTGACCTAGGGTTCACCAATTTGGTTAGGTGGCTGGCCACCGAGTCCCAGTATCCTCATGTTTTTGGCCTCCCCTGTATTGGGATTACAAGTCTGCCTCACCACAGCTGGCTTTTACTTGGCTTTTTATGTGGGTTCCGAGGCTAGAATTCAGGGCTTTATAGTAGCACAGAAAGCCCTTTACTGTCTGAGCTATCTCCCCAGACCCTGGAATAATTTTATAAGGAGGTACATCCCCTCATCAACTCTGTACTTCCTGAATGGTAAAGTTCAAGTAGGAAAGGCAATATATATATATATATATATATATATGTCCTTGTATTTACCCAGTTTTCACAGTGGTTGGTTCAGATGGTAACTAGCTACTTGATTATTATGAGCGTATATATTTAAACTATTTATAGGCTTCAATATGGTACAATTTTTATTCTTACATAAACTCGGATTATCTTTTTTGCCAGTGGGAACTTGGGTCCTTTTGACATGATCAGAGTAGCCTTTGATGACTTCCTTGCTAGCTTGCAGGACAAGATGCTTCAGTTGCACTTCTGTGTCTTTACTTTAGAATGGTTACCAGTTGTTTCTCTTTTTCCCTTTGAAAAAAATCTTTTAATCTTTTTTTAGAAGCTCTCATTACATTTTTTGGTAACTGGAAATATTTCAAGACCCCAGTGTAGGCACTAGAAATAGCGATAACTTCTCACTTTGTCACTGTTAGTAAATTTTTTAATTTTTTTGGTCTTTTTGGTCTTTTTTGTTTTTTGTTTTTTTTTTTTTGGTCTTTTTGAGGCAGGGTCTTCCTGTAGCCCCAGCTGTCCTGGAACTCACTATGTAGACCAGGCTGGCTTTGAACTCATAGAGATCTGCCTGCCTCTGCCTCCGAGTGCTGGGATTAAAGGCATAGTAAATGTTTTTTAGTGGACAGAGTTAGGAGAAGATAGAGATCAAAACCTTGCAAGATCATAGTGATATTTATTCAAATTCAAGGGGAGTTTGGTTTTAGGGGTTCTAAATTTCTTCAGCCCCACATCTGTGTCTTTTTTATACTGAAAATTTGATAGAATTAGTCTATCTCTAATTACTTACTTTAATGTAGGAATGAATCTAGGATGATGCTGATAATTTTTTTATTAAAAAACAATTTTTATTTCTTTATTTTTATGTATATGAGTATTGCCTGTATGCATGTAAGTGTACTCATGTTGTGCAAAGCCCACAAAGGCCAGAAGAAGATGTCGAATTCCCTGGATGGATGGTTGTTAGCTGCCATGCGGATGCTGGGAATTGAACCCAGGTCTTCTGCAAGAATAGCCAGTGCTCTAAATGGCTGAGCCATCTCTCCAGGTCCTAAAAACAGTTTTTAAAGTTCATGTATTTTATTTGCATTCTTTCTGTCATAGTTGTCCTATGTATTGTCAGTACATAATTATTACATTCTCTTGCTCCCAGACATAGGCCTAGTTTCACAAACTGCATATTTAACTGTATATTTGTTCACCAGTCTTTAAAATGATATCTTTATGTATCACAGATATCTCAAAGTTTCTTCCATTCAGTCTTCAAGAAATGCTGCAGAGAAAATGTTTCATCAGCCTTCTTGCCTGTTCATAGCATTTTCTATGCATTCTTGATATCTGATGTTCATTTTTGCTGGAAATAAAATATTTGGCTCCCTTTCTCTTGAATATTTTAAATGTAACCCTTTTCTGGCCAAATACTGCTGTTGAAAAGTTTCATGATAATTTTATTTTCCTTATCTTACTAGTCATATGATCTTTTTGTCCTAAATCCTGTTTGGGTAAGTCTAGTAATTTTACTAAACTATATGATTGACAATTTTGGATTGATATTGTCAGTGATATTTGGGCTTTTTCAATACATAGTGTCAAATCTTTTTTCTTTTTTTCTTTTTTCTTTTTGACTTTTTTGATACAGGGTCTCCCTGTAACTCCAGCTGGGGCCTGGAACTTGCTATGTAGACCAGGCTGGCCTTGATCTCACAGAGATCTGCCAACCTCTGCCTCCCGAGTACTGGGATTAAAGGCATGTTCTACCATGCCTGGCTCTCAAGTCTTTTTTAATTTCAGAGAAATATTATTAGATTATGTTTATGCAGTTCCTTTGCTTTGGCTTTCTGGATGGAATCCTATTCAAATTACTTATCTTCAGTTTATTTTCTCTTCAGTCCTACTTAACTATTTCTTTGAAGAAAAGTAAAATTGTTAGGAATAATTATGGATTACTAAAGAAAATTTGCAAAGATAAAATGTAATTCTTAGCTCTAGTTGTAACCTTCAGCCAGTGTTCTCTGTTAGCATGCTACATTAGCAATATGGGCATGGTGACATAGGCCTGTAATCTCATCATTTGGGAGGCTAAAAAAGAAATATTGTGAGTTTGAGGCCTGCCTGGCCTGTATATCAGACCCTAGCTCAAAAAACAAAATAAGATCTAGAAAAACACACTGTGTGTGTGGGGGGGGGTTGGTACTACTTATAGCATACACACACATACCCTTCCATATGTATACCATGCCATATCAAACCGTACTGTACATATATGATTTGGTTCTTTTTGTACCACTGGGATTGTGAAACAAATCCTCTGCAGATGAGGAGGAGTACCCCATCTGTTACTGGAGTAGGAAGCCTCTTTGTTTCAGCTGCTCTTCTCTGGTTGACATGGCACATTCATTAGTGAATGAATGCCAACTGGCTCTTGTTCTCTTGATGTATTACATTCCTATGGCCACCTTCTGTTTCCTCCCACATGGACACTAGTGTAGCCATTGGTGAGTTTGATTATTTTCCACATTTTTGGGGGGTTTATAGGGAACTTGGTTGAGTAGTTACTGTTTTTGTAAAGGTTGTCCATGGGTTTTTGGTGCTAATCTCCTTGCTTTATTTGTTCTTATCTGGGAGTTTGCGGGGACACAAAATCCATGTTCCCCTGGCAGTAAACATCTTTGAATCCTGTTAGTCAACTCTTTTTTTTTTAATTAGAAGAAGCATTTCATTACAACAGCATTAACCTGTTCAATAACATTTTTCTGAGCTAGGGTACATCTCTTTCAAAATTTATGCTTTATTTGTTCTTATCTGGGAGTTTGCGGGGACACAAAATCCATGTTCCCCTGGCAGTAAACATCTTTGAATCCTGTTAGTCAACTCTTTTTTTTTTAATTAGAAGAAGCATTTCATTACAACAGCATTAACCTGTTCAATAACATTTTTCTGAGCTAGGGTACATCTCTTTCAAAATTGGCTGTATATTTTTAGGTTTACAGATGAATTATTACGCTTGTATAGTCTTTTACTCATTATAAACTCTGTAAGACATAAAATTAAATGAGGTT